CCTATGAATAAAATCTAAAGGGTTCACGAACTTGGGTGGGGTAAAATACATCTTTATTTTCAGTAACTCCTAATTAAACCTAACATTAAAAAAATTGTAAATGTAGACAACATAGCACAGTATTAAGAATAATTCGCCTAACTTTGTCATCAGTAGAAAACACAGAAATTTTTATATTGCATTGGAGTTGCTGCAAATATCTCGAAGTGTTGTTTATAATCATCACTCCTTTAAAATTATGGTAGTTACCAGACTGCCATTAGATTTCATTTAATTTAATAAAGAAGCATACATATTACTCTAAAATTAAATTTGAAAACATTTTGAAAACTGTGTCTTGATAAAATTGGTTTCTTTCGTAATCCTGCATATTTCTAAAACCATTTACAAATGATTACAAGAATAGTCCATAGGCTTTGCTAAAATATTTAAAAGCTCCATGGCACTAAAAGGTTAAGAATCTTAGTGTAGGAAAGAATAGTTTCTATTGAGACATTAGGGAGGTATATTAATTCCATGGGAAAAATCATAAATACTTATAGATCAGTTGAGATTTTTGACTCAGTCTCCATTTCCGCTTTCCTGACTAATTTTTCACTCTTCAATATCTCTTCTCATGGACTACATCTTCCCCAATTTGTTTACTCCTCCTCAACAGTTGAATGGCTGTGTTTTCCATCAATGATGACAGCTTTTAATCATAGATCTCAAGCCCATTATGAACGTTAGTTAATGTCTGACATCGCTTAATGAGGTAGGTAAAAACTATTACTGTTTCATAGATGGGAAAATCAGATTGAGGCAAGTTTGGTGACTTGTTCTTAGGTCACCCAAGAAATTGTGGCTTATTTCCAAAATCAATGCTTATTCTCCTTACAGACAAATGATGTGGTTTTTTTTGTTTGTTTGTCATAGTATACCAATCTGTTGCAAAGATAACCTATTTTGCAAAAAAAAAAAAAGATTATTGATACAGGCATGGAAATAATCTTTCTTAAGGCAGAAACATTTGATGGTATCAGTATTTATACTGCTTCAACCTAACAATGTATTGGTTGGGTTTTCTCTGAAAAATAATAGATGTCTTGGTTGGAGGGAAAAAGCCCCAGCTCAAATAAACCATTAAAACCACTATCCATTGATTTGAATACAATAAAAGTTGATTAAAAAAAAAAGAGAAAAAAACTCACTACCCATTTTGAAATAAAGCAGTTAGTTTCTTCTTGTATTTAGAAACTCTACTTAGTAAGAGTCGGAGAGGAACAAAGTGAACATTAGTTATCAAAATGCGTTGACTTACCTTTTGATCTTAAGACACCACACACAGTAAGCACTTTTGTCTTTTTGTGGTAACTTTGTTTTCTATGGACTCATGTTGCTTTGATCAATGGTATTTGTGTGCCTCATCTTAATCTAACTTTTTTGTTGTTTGACCAGTTCATCTGGTTTGACAGGCTAATGTGAAAAATTTGAAAATTCTTTGTGATTTGTCTTTTTAAATGGTATTTGCTCTTCTCTTGTTGTTTTGCTAAATCCTCAGTTGCCTGGCAAATAAGGCAAACAGAAGGAATATGATTTGGAATAGTTGAATAAATAAATATTTGAGAGAGAAAGGAAAATTTATTTTTTATAGAAAAATCCAATTAATATATGAGAAAAGAATGAGGAAACTTTAAAATTTCCATTAGACAAACACGATTGTTGCAGGTAAAATACATGGAAGGATTCTAAAATCAGTGGACAAAAGTTTGAGGAAAAATAAGATATTTGTATAGTCTCAAATTATTTCCCCTAACGTACTTATTAATGGGAGAAGAGGGATAATTACATGGAGAAATTCGGTAGATACCACCATGTCTCCCGGTATTTAAAATTAGTAGGCCTTAAATAAATGTATTAACTTTCCTCTCAAGCCATCTCTTCCTGCCTATATTCGATTTTCATTTAAATTATTAACAATTAGCAAATTTCTTGAGCTAGAATTCTCAGAATAACCTTTGACCTTTCCTTCAAGACCTACTGTCCCTTCCTCCTTCCCATAACTATTTGCCAGATTCTCTGTTAGTCACTGAGAGTACTATTGTGAAAGAGCAGACACGGCCACTTAATACTCACGGAGTTTACAACATAGTGGGGAATATACATAAGAAACCTAATACATGAATAAAATAATTACAACGTGTAAGAGGTGCCATAAAGAAAATATAGAGGGTAGCATGGTAGAAATTTACTGAGATAAAAATATTGAAGAAGGCTAATTCAGCTAAGCCTTCTGAAGCTGAGACCTGAAAGGTGAGAAAGTTATGTCAAATGCTGCTGAAAAGTCCAACAATTAACATTAAAATCTTTTGCTCTGAAGAAGACACTGGTGGAAAATGAAGACAAACCTACAGACTGGGAGAAAACATTTAAAGTCACTTTTCTAACCAAAAAAACCACCACCACCACCACCAACAAAAACTTGTGTTCAGAATATATAAAGAATGCTCAAAATTCAACAATTAAAAAAGCAAAAAATATACACAAATCAACTCAAAAAGATATGTTGATGGTAAATAAGCATATGAAAAGATATGGTACTCATTATGGAAATGCAAAGTATGATCACAGTGAAATGCCCAAAATACCTATGAGAATAGGGAAAAATTCCTGATATTACCAAATGTTGGTGAAGATGTGGATCAACTGGAATCCTAATATTTTGCTGTCACAGCCACTTTGAAAAACAGTTTGACAACCTTGTTGACTTAAGCAGGTTTAATCATTTAAACATTTATGATTTGCCATCATATATTCTATCATATAAGAACATGCTTTTCATAATGCAGCAGTCTGACTCTCAGATATTTACCCAAGATTTATGCAAGGTTATGTTCACACAGAAGTCTGTACATGAATGTTCATTGCAGCTTTATTAGTAATTGTCAAAACCTGGAAACAACTCAAACTTGAATAAATGAATTAGCAATTTGTGGTATATCTATACATTGGAATTCTTCTTAGCAATAAAAGTTGAGAAATATGGATTCATGTAGCAACATGAATGAATCTCAAATATATTTTGTGAAAGTGAAAGAAGATAGAAGCAAAACATTTATATTGTATGATTTCACTTATTTAACATTCTAGAGAAGGCAAAAATATTAAGATGGGAGACAAATCAGTGGTTGCCAGGAGTAGGGTAGAGATGGAGGCTCACCATAAAGAGGCAGCAGGAAGGAATTTGGGGAGTGATGAAACTTTTTTTTTTTTTTTGAGATGGAGTCTTGCTGTGTTTCCTAGGCTGGAGTACAGCAGCATGATCTCAGTTCACTGCAACCTCTGCCCTCCTGGATTCAAGCGATTCTCCTGTCTCAGCCTCCTGAGCAGCTGGGATTACAGGTGCAGGCCACCACTCCCAGCTAATTTTTGTAGACATGGGGTTTCACCAAGTTAGCCAGGCTGGTCTTGAACTTCAGACCTTAAGTGATGTGCCCGTCTTGGCCTCCTAAAGTGCTGGGATTACAGGTGAGAGCCACTGTGCCTAGCCTGATGAAACTGTTTTGTATATGACTGTGATGATGTTCTATGAATGTGTCAAAACACATAGAAATATAAATTATAATAAGTGAATTTATGTAAATTTTAAATCTGTAAATTTTTTTTAAAGTTAAGCAAAATAAGAATTGAGAAAAGACTTTTCGAGTTTTTCGTTATGCATTTCATTGGTGACTGAGCAGTTTTGATGAAGTGGGGCTCATTGAATCCAAATTGCATTATGTTTAAGAGGAAGTGAAGTGAGTAAATGGAAACATGTAGTGTGGACTTTTCTAGAAGTTTGACTATAAAGGGGAGAAGGGAGTAGATGGATGAGAATGTGAGCTTATAATAAATCTTAATTTTGGGGGATGAGACCAGTTAGAAATAAAACTAATAAAAATGTGCAAGACCTCTACTGAGAACATTACAAAATTTAATAGAAGATATAAAATTTCCAAATAAGTAGGTGCATCATGTTCACTGATGAGATGACTTAGTGCTACAAAAATCTAAGTGTTCCCCTAATTAATTTATAAATCCAAACAATCTCAATAAAAATGCTAATAGGATTTGTGTGTGTGTGTGTGTGTGTGTGTGTGTGTGTGTGTGTGTACTTTGCCAAATGGAGTCCAAAATTCATTAGGACAAGCAAATGTATAAGAATGGCCAAAATAATCTTTGACAATATTAGGAATTACTTCATCAGTTTTGAAGACACATTATAAAGCTATATTTATAGAAACACTGTGGAACTGGTGCAGGAATAGACATCCAATTTTGAGATATGAACAAGGTCGTCTCCTTGAGGAACAATTCTACAGTTCTACCAGTAGAGTATACTGTTAATTTTCCACTTTGCCTTCCTGAAAGTCACTAGAGGCTGTTTAATAGGTTATCTGTGTACTGGAAAGAGGGCAACATCCAGATTTTTCTGGGATTACTGGGACAGACTTAGAGTTGATGCTAATTCCTGGAGAACTCAAATGCTCTTTGGCCAAATAGAGTGGAGATTTATAGACATTAGATGTTATATGGAGCTTTGGTCTAATTTCTTCTCACAGTGGGCCAAGTGGGTCCACACAAAGAACCCTATGGTAATTCTCTTTATTTCTGAATTTGTAGTTCCCAAGAAAACACTTGAAAACCAACAAACTCTTCAAACTGGCTCCATTGCCTGTAGAATGATGGCTAATGTGAAAAGGGCCAAGTAGAAACCACTAGAATTACTCTGATCAACCGAAATGTTAAATCAAAAGCAATAGTGCATCTGTGAGGTCTGTGGAGATTAATGTCACCATGAAAGTCTTGAGGGATGCAAGAGTGTAGATTTAGCTTGTGATGATGGTAGTAGGCTTTAGGCTTTTGGAGAGTGATAGAGGATTTTCATAAAGTTTTTTTTTTTTTTTTTAGATGGAGCCTTGCCCTGTTGCCCAGGCTGGAGTGCCATGGCTTGATATTGGCTGTCTGCAACCTCCGCCTCCCGGGTTCAAGTGATTCTCCTGCCTCAGCCTCCCAAGTAGCTTGGATTACAGGTGAGTGCCACCACACCTGGCTAATTTTTGTATTTTTAGTAAAGATGGGATTTCACCATGTTGGTCAGGCTGGTCTTGAACTCCTGACCTCAAGTGACCCACCTGCCTTGGCCTCCCAAAGTGCTGGGTTTATAGGCATGAGCCACCGTGCCCAGCCAATTTTCATAAACTTAATCAGGTGGTGACAGGAAATACTGCTGCTTTTATATATGTAGTCTCTTTACTGGATCAAAACAACAAAATCTCTGATACCTAGTATGCAGCTATTGCTCTGGCAAATGCTTTATTCTCTCTATTCCAACCAAGAAGCAATTTGCTGCTGCATTATTAAGACAAAAAAAAAAAAAAAAAAAAAAAAACAAAAACAAAAAAAAAAACCATTCACTGTTGCTTTCAGCTCTGTGGCTGTCTGTCATAATCTAGGCTACATAATATATGAAATCATGCTTTTAGATCTATTGTGAAACTTTATTAAGACACATTTGTGCTGGGGGAGGAGATAAATCCCATGAAAATGTATTGGGTTCCTAAGGTCCTGGGGTTCGGGATATACTGAGATCTCTCCTCCAAAGTAAAAGTTAACTTGATGTTACCCACTAGCATTAAACAAGTGGTTATTTTGTGGATCTCTTTTGGATCTGGAGCCAACATATATCTAATTTGTGTGATTTGCTTTGCCCATTTACTGAGGTTTGAATGGAGCTCAGAGCAAAAGAAGACTCTGAAGCTGGTCCAGGTTACAGTACAAGTTATTTTACCATTTAGGCCATATGAATCAGCAGGTCTGTGACTTTTAGGGCTGTTCCATGGAGCTTCTGGCAAATCCCCATACAAGAATGACAATACATGCTTGTAAGATTTTAAAACAAAGCTATGTAGATATTCATTCACCTTTTTAGAAATGGCATCTTTCTTGCCACTCAGTGCTGGTAGAGATTAAATATCTGACCATGGGACATCAAATGACCAGGCAATCTGAGATGAGTATCATGAACTGGATGTATCTGATCCCAAAAGCTCTAAAGTTGGACATCAACAGCGAAACCCCATTATAAAGTGATAGTGGTAGGAGACTGAGCTCAAAGAGATACTGAATATGTGATTTGCATGAATTGAGGTTTAGACTCTCATGAAATGTACTGTTATTGCATTGCTGCCTGTCCTTCAACTCATACTTCTGACCTCATGGGGCGTTCCCCCTGACTGAGGAAGAAAAAATTTCAGGCCTGGTTTACATATGATTCTGAGTGATATGCTGACACAGATGGAAGTGAATTGATGCATAATTATGGCCCAACTCAGAGGTGGTCTGAGATGACAGTAAGGAAATGAAATACTTCTACTGAGCAGGACTTCAAGCAGTATATCGGTCTGCTTGCCCACTCTGCCTGGAAGGAGAGATGGCCAAAAATATGGATCATATTGACAGTCACTAGTGATTGTCACTGGAAATTCAATGACTTGAAAGATACACAATTGGAGGAATGAAGATAAGGAGATCTGGGCAAAAGGTATTTGTGTGTACCCCCAGAATAAGAACAGAATATGAGGATTTGTCTCATGCGAATTCCTACCAAAAGTCACTGATTGAAGAGTCTTGCAGTTACCAGCTAGACAAGAAGACCCATTGTATGCATAACATTCAGCTTCTAGCTTCATCTACAAGTGCTTCATCAAGGACTTATGAACAAAGTGGCCTTGACAACAGGAATGGAGATTACACATGGGTTCAACAACATGAACTCTCATCAAGGCTAATCAGATTAATGTCACTGCTGAGTGCTTGCCTGGCCAGTAGCCTAGCTGAGCCTCTGAAAGAGCAGGATTCTCCTGGGAGACCAGTTACCAGTCTGGTGGCAGGTTGATTTTCTTGACTATACTGTCACTTTGGATAAATTTGGCTTTAAAATTTGTGTTACTTGTCTGAAATGTCTGTCAGCATCACCATCAATTAACCTACGAATATTTCACTCACTATCATGGTATCACACATAATAGTGTTTCTCCAAGTATGACCCATAAAACCATAGGGATCTCCAAGACCCTTTCAGGGGATCTATAAGGCCAGAACAATTTTTAAAACAGAACTAAGACATTACTTGCCATTTTTTGGGTTTACATTTATACTGATAATGCAAAAGCAATGCTGGGTCAAACCGCTGTCTCCTTAGCACAAATCAAGGCAGGGGCACCAAACTGTACTGAGTTCTAAGATTCTTTGCCACTGGGGACTCAGAAAAAAATATAGTTTCACATCAAGAATATACTGATGAGGTAGTAAAAATGATTACTTACTAATTTTTTTTTGAGATGGAATCTTGCTGTGTTACCCGGGCTGGACCCGAATTCCTGGGCTCAAGGAATCTTCCTGTCTCAGCTTCCCAAGTAGCTGGGACTACAAGTAAATGCTACCATGCCCCACTAATTTGATTAAATATTAACTCTTTAGTACATGGCTTCTAAATATGCTATGTGGCAAATAAGTCATTCATATAGCACTTTTGCTGCATACAAAAATACAATATTTGTCTCGTGGAAAAGCACTTGTGTGATGAAGTTGTGAGCCAAACTAGCTTATTTTTTTCATGGGGCACTATTTTTACTTGAAAGAACAATTGACAGACAAATTAGGATTATTCAGACTTGGATATTTGGTAGACATTTTCTCAAAAATGAATGAAGTAAGCCTGTCATCTCAAGGAAAACAACTGACAGTATTTTGTTATCAATTAAAAAAAAAAAAAAAAAATTAAGCTTTCAACTAAAAGCTAGTGTTTTGGAAAACTATTCAGTACTCTGAGCATGAAAACTTCAGAATTAAGATGCTAAAAATATTGTTAGTGTGATATTAGTGATTGTCATTTTATTTTATCGTATCATGAAATGTGTCACTACTTGGAAGGTTTGAATAATTCAGTAATGCAGTATTTTCCAAATGTTCAAAGCATGATGTTACAAGATCATGAATGGTAAAAGGTTCATTTAAAGTGCAAGTTAGGCTAATAGTTTTAATGTAACACAGTATATTGAATAATAAATTTAAATAAAAGGCAAAAGATAAATTGAGAAAACTATTTCAACACATATTAACACTGTCAGAAATAGCACTTTAAATTATTTTAATAAGTATAATAGATCATTGAATTATTTCTACTTATTTGGGTATAGAAATGAAATAGTTTTTTTTTTAACTATTGTTTGAAAATGTACTGTGTCAAAATTTCTTTTTCATCCCTTAGCACACTCTTGGGCAGATTCCAAAATCTTCTGGTATTTTATTTTATTTTATTTTATTTTATTTTATTTTATTTTATTTTATTTTTTGAGTTGGAGTTTCGCTCTTGTTGCCCAGGCTGGAGTACAGTGGCAAGATCTGGGCTCACTGCAACCTCCACCTTCCAGTTTCAAGCAATTCTCCTGCCTCAGCCTCCTGAGTAGCTAGGATTACAGGCACCTGCCACCATGCCCAGCTAATTTTTGTATTTTTAGTAGAGACGGGGTTTCACCATGTTGGCCAGGCTGGTCTTGAACTCCTGCCCTTGTAATCGCCCTGCTTCGGCCTCCCAAAGTGCTGGGATTACAGGCGTGAGCCACTGCGCCCGGGCTGGTTATTTTTTTAATTAATTGTGCCCTGCATAGTTTCAAACCACCAGGTCATGTCTCCATTCCTAGTGCCACCAAAAGCTGAGTTTCTGGCTACTAGGAGTGACTTCAAGAAATGGGTATAGGGATTAGAAAAATGCTACAAAAATAGTTCTTGAATTGCCAAAATAACTAGTCTCTGAATTGTATTATTCTTACTTCTTAACCCTGTACTTTGTATGAAGTGGCAGATGGGGGTGGGAAGAGGCTGTAGGGCTATTTTTGTAAACCTTGAGGGTAAGGAAAACTCTCTGTTCACAAATTTGATGGTATTTTTATGTCTTTCTTTAGCATGTAGGTTACTTGGAACCTCTGGACTTCAGCTTTAAGTCTAAACCTAGATTGAAGAGAGTAGAAAAGTCTACCTAACACCCTATTCTGTAAGAAAAATACTAATACAACAATGGAAAAATGACAAAAGATCCTAAGCAGAAAATCCACAAAAATACAAATCACTAATAAACATTTGCCATCTTAGGAAATCCAAAATAGTGTTGGACCAGTTGATATGGTTTGACTGTGTCCCCACCCAAATCTCATCTTGAATTCCCACATGTTGTGGGAGGGACCTGGTGGGAGGTAACTGAATCAAGAGTGCATGTCTTTCCTGTGCTATTCTTGTGTTAGTAAGTCTCATGAGATCTGATGGTTATTATAAGGAGGGGCAGGGTTCCTGCACAAGCTTTCTTTGCCTGCTTCCATCCATGTAAGACGTGACTTGCTACCCCTTGCCTTCTACCATGATTTTGAGGCCTCCCCAGCCACATGGAACTGTGAGCCCAATAAACTTCTTTCTTTTGTAAATCGAGCAGTATTTGGTATGGCTTTATCAGCAGCATGAAAACAGACAAATACACCAGTATAACAATTTTATATGTCATACTGCCATTAAAATTTATAATACCAAGGCCAGGTGTGGTGGCTGACACCTGTAATCCCAGCACTTTGGGAGGCCAAGGTGGCAGATCAACTGAGGTCAGGAGTTCAAGATCAGCCTGGCCAACATGGTGAAATCCCATCTCTACTAAAAATACAAAAATTAGCTGAGTGTGGTGGTGTGTGCCTGTAGTTTCAGTTACCTGGGAGGCTGAGGTGGGAGAATAATTTGAACCTAGGAGGTGGAGGTTGCAGTGAGCTGGGATCTTGCATTGCATTCCAGCCTGGGTGACAGAGCAAGAGCCTGTCTCAAAAAAAAAAAAAAAAAAAAGAAAGAAAGAAAATGTAATATCAAAATGTTTCAAGCTTATGAGTGATAGGTACTTTTCATACACTGCTGATGGATTTCAAATAAGAATAACCAGTTGTGAGGAACAATTTGGGGACCCATGTCAAGAACCTGTGTCGATATAAATATATTCATGCTCTTTGACCTACTAATTCCTTTCCCAAAAATTGACTGAAGAAAATAATCTTAGATACTGTATTAGTCAGTTTTGCATCGCTATTAAAAAACCCTGAGATTGGGTAATTTATAAAGAGAAGAGGTTTAATTGGTTCACAGTTCTTCAGACCATACAAGAAGCATGATATAAGCATCTGCTTTTGGTGAGCCTCAGGTAGCTTACAATCATGACTGAAGGTGAAGGGGTGGCCACCATCTCACATGGTGACAGTGGGAGCAAGAAAGTAGGGGAGGTACCACATGCTTTTAAATAACCAAATATAAAATTAACTGAACATGGTGGCACATGCCTGTAGTCCCAGCTACTTGGGAGGCTGAAACATAAGAATCGCTTGAACCGGAGAGGTGGAGGCTGCAGTGAGTCAAGATTGTGCCACTGCACTCCAGCCTGGGTGACTCCATCTCAGAAACAAACAAACAAAAAACCAACAATAGTCAAATCTCATGAGAACTCATTCACTATTGTGAGGACAGCACAAAGCTATAAAAGATTAACAACCATGACCCCAACAACTCCATCCAGGCCTGATCTCCAACACTGGGGATTAAATTTTAACCCTCTTGGTGGTGCAAGCCATAAGTCTTGGCAGCCTCCATGTGGTGGACCGAGCTGTATTTGGGGCCCTTTGAGCAGAGATTGGAGTTGGAGTTGCCTAGATGCAGGGAGCAGTGTCCCCAAGCTGCACAGTGTCCCTGTGGCCTGTGGTGGGAGAAGCTGCCTTGAAGGTCTCTGAAATGCCTTCAAGGCCTTTTTTCCATTGTCTTGCAGATTAGCACTTGGCTCCCTTTCAGCCTTGGTAATCTCTCTAACAAGTGGTTGCTCCACAGCCACTTGGATTCTTCCCTTGAAAATGGGCTTTTTTTTTTTTTTTTTCCTACTACATGGTTAGGCTACAAATTTTCCAAACTTTTATGCTCTGCTTCCCCTTCATATTAATATAATTTCCAACTTTAAGACATTTCTTTGCTCCTGCATCTGAACATAGGTTGGTAGAAGCAGTCAGCGACACTGTGAATGCTTTGTTACTTAGAAATTTTGTCTCATGCGTCTGTGTGAAGAGACCACCAAACAGGTTTTGTGTGAACAACAAGGCTGTTTATTTTACCTGGGTGCAGGCAGGCTGAGTCCAAAAAGAGAGTCAGCAAAGGGTGGTGGATTATTATTAGTTCTTATAAGTTTTGGGATAGGTGGTGGAGTTAGGAGCAATGTTTTGCAGGCAGGGGGTGGATCTCACAAAGTACATTCTCAAGGGTGGAGAGAATTACAAAGAACCTTCTTAAGGGTGGGGGAGATGACAAAGTACATTGATCAGTTAGGGTGGGGAAGAAACCAATCGCAATGGTGGAATGTCATCAATTAAGGCTATTTTCACTTCTTTTGTGGATCTTCAGTTGCTTCAGGCCATCGGGATGTATACGTGCAGGTCACAAGGGATATGATGGCTTAGCTTGGGCTCAGAGGCCTGATGAATTTCTTCTGCCAGATACCCTAAGTCATCACTCTTAAGTTCAAACTTCCATAGATCCCTAGGGCATGAACACAATGCAGCAAAGTTCTTTGTTAAGGAGTAACGTGGGTTACTTTATTCCAGTTCCAAATAAATTCCTTATTTTCATCTGAGACCTCGTTAGCTTGGCCTTCACTGTTTATATTTCTATCAGCACTTTGGTCATAACTACTGTACAAGTCTCTAAGAAGTTCCAGACTTTCACTTGTCTTCTTCTGAGATCTTCAACCTCTGCCTGTTACCCAGTTCCAAAGCTGCTTTAACATTTTCAGGTATCTTTATAGCAACACCATACTGTTTTTTTTTTTTTTTTTTTTTTTTTTTTGAGACAGAGTCTCAATCTGTTACCCAGGCTGGAGTG